TAGCTCTTTCTGTGCATGTGTCTGTCTAGCCACTTCGCTAGAAAATGCCACGTCAGTGCGCGCGATGTCGCGATCTGAAAGTAAAGCAGCACACCCTTGAGAACCCTGGTCCAATCTCTCGTTAGTGGTTTCCTTTATAGATCTGTCACTGAGATGCACAAGAGCCCATCAAGTTTTTGATCATTTGCCAACAATTCAATAAAATCATTCAGTATCGACTGCCTGAATCAGCTGTTTCATTGAACTTGGTCATTGATACCCTGAACAGCCTGCTGAAGTTCACTCAAATGCCAGGAAACCACGCCCTTTTCACTGCCATAACGCCATCATTAGGACATATTGTACCAGTAAGTTCGAATTATCATTTACATCTACAAAGTATATAGAAACCAGTATGTATTTTAGGTCTTCCCACAACTTGCACCTTTGGTATCCGCACTTATGCTACGGATCTCTTCTGTAACTCGTGCACAACTGGCGATGAACTGCCTGGATGCTCGCCCTCAAGGCAGTCGTGAGCGGCGACTCGCTAATACTGTCGAACGGGTTCTCAGCTCACGAGTATTTATCACGGATTGAATTTTGCTGACGTCACTGCTGAAGAAATCCACATGATCTCTATGTAAAACCGGTAGTACCATTTTGTGACACCAACCACGGCTGTATTCTTGGCATGGTCTCTTGGATATAGGCAGCGTTCTGAACCAGATGTCAACCTAATCACCATTTAAGCTCAGCTTATTCGAAGGGGAAAATCCAGATTAGATTAGCTGTGTCATCAACATACGGTTTACTCTTGGTTACTCTGCTGAAACCCTTCTTTCATGATATTTCTTGAAGGAGTGTGTAAGTGCACGTTCATACTTCATTGCGAGCGATCAGATCGCTTTTGCGTTTGGATCACGTGATTAGATTCGCTCGAGCGATTATATCGCACGGTCACAAGCGTGAGCGCTGTTTCGCCATTCGTACATGAACTGGGCCCAGTTGTATTCTGCTGTTGCAGCGGTTCACTGATCAGCGGTGGAGCACCCCCGGCAGTAGTTGAGCGATCCAGCGCTCGTAGCGTTCCGAACGCGCCGACGTTTCCGATCCAGCCTCGAGCGTTCCGATCGCGCGATTGAAGTATGACGCGCTCTGCGTGTCTACGGGTTCATAAGAAGTGTAATGGTACCTGTTTATGGTTGTTTAATAAGATATCATAAAATTGCAAAATCCTATTATTACAATATGTATGAAAGGTTCCATATTTTTACAACAAGTCTGTTTTGGAACTGCCATGCAACCTTATAATCAGGCTTCGGCAGTATTTGCGATTCGCTGTCTCAAAATTCGGCCAAAATTTCGATCAAAGTAATCCCACAGTGAGACGTGGCTAGTTTGGAGGTCCTCGGACCGCAATGACTCGTGCGCTTGACTCGAAAATATCGCGCCCCAGCTGCCCCGTACCAAGCATCCACGGTCACAAAACTGGCAAAACTAGTTTTTGGCACTGGGGCGACTACAAAATCGTGCAAATTCGCTTCGAGAAGAGTGATAGTAGTATTCAGAGTGACCACATCCAGGAGCGAAATACGCGGCAATTCATCGACGGGGGGGCATCTTGCACTTTGTTACTTCCCATCGACGTGTCGACCTTTCCGGACAGCTACTTCTTAGGCTTACAAATGTTGTGTGTGGCAGGTTTTACCATGGTGGCTCGGCGAATTGCTCCAGCTTCTCAAGAGTTCACAGATTTCAGCAGAATAAGACTTGTGTACCGGTACTAGTGAAACAGCAAAGGTGCAAAATGCCCCCCCCCCCCCCCCCCCGCCAAGACAGCGCCTGAAATTTTTGCCAGATCTATCCCCGGAAAAAGTCAACAACAATCTGGCCACAATTTCAAAGAGTAGGGCAGGAAACGGTAAATAATGCCTGGATATTCTATGATAGTATCTGCTTCGGTAATAGATGTTTTTGATATCAAATATTTATCTTTATCAGGGCATAGAAGACATCTTTCACGATTCTTCAGCAGTCGGCTTAGGTAATGTGTTGGGTATCAAAGCTATCTTACGTGGTCCTAAACTCTTTGCTTCACTAGAATTAGGTGGAAACCACAAATTCTTATTTGGGCTTTTAACAGCAACAACTCCTAATCTACTATCAGCTGTTGATAATAAATAATGCGAATCTCCTGTTGAAATGACGTTTGCTATCACATAATCTCCCGGAAGCATGCACTCTCGCACTTTGAATTGCTGAAAAAAAAAAGCTACACCTTCTATACTCGACTGGAACAGGCTGGTAAAACATTTCTGAAGGTACAGTTTGTAAACTAGAGAGATAAAAAAGGTGGTTGAGGTCAAGGGTTTAGATAACCGATCACCATTACTACAAACAGAAGTCAACTAAGTCAAAAGTAATGTGCGCGACGTAACCCATGTTTGGGGATGTTTGGGTACACCCGAATGATTCTGGCGTCACTCCTTTCACATTGCGTGGTGACTTCTTACCACACACCTCTACATGGATTCCAAAACTAGCACACATGGGCCGTGGGTAATAAGAGCGAATCGCGATAAGCCAATCCCCATTATTAAAATAAGATACTCCTAAAGGAGGGGGCACACCTGAAATGTTGATTTCTTATGCCACATGAGTAAAAAAGGATGTAAGGAACGATCATGTTAAGAACGAGGACCGGCCTCATGTTTCATGTAGGAGGGCAACGCTAAGTTCTTAGTTGGAAACACCCTTCATAAGAATGTCCACTTCTATACTGTACGGCGTTGCTAGAAAAATGTTTAAACCTACATCTAACTTCACATCCGATCTCATATCTTCCTTTCGTATAACGGCACTAAAGGAAACTCCTTGTTGTAAATCGGTGTCTTCTATCCGAAATACTGTACACTTTGCATTTCTGAATGTGTTGCATCGAAAAATGTCTGCAAAAAGAAGAAATGGAACATACTTGTCGCTAATTTCCACAACTTTCGCTGTAACGATAGCTCCAATGAATGGGACTTGATATGTGAACGTGCCGTCGTGGTTCAAAACTTCGACAACTTTTGCTGTTTTACTACCCTGAAACGATAAACTTTGATTCAACTTCACCACAAATCAGCCTGAAGGCCCCATATATTCCACTTCTGCTAGAAGCCCAGCGAGTATTTGGTCGCGTACCTTACATAGACATTAGGTCACAAAGACCAACAATACTCTGAGCCGCGTGACTGTTTTTTCTTAAAAAAACTGGCGATAACAATCGATGACTTGAATGACGGGAAACCTAATTTACCCGCGCAAAATACATTCTGATGGTGCGTTCATACCTTGCGACACAAGGGAATCGTGGAATACGAAGACCCAGTGGGTTGCAGAATGGGTGGAAAGAATGACGGTCGGTATTCAGACCAATATGTATACAATCTTTATCGCGCTTTGTCTGATTATATCATTCCCATAGGGTTCGAACGCGGCCGAATGCTGTTTACAGAAGAACGGAAGCTTTGGGAGTGCCAGGGGCCAGGGGGCACAAAGTCGGTCACACCTATCTTTTTTTCGTCTGACAACAACGCTGATGGAAGGAGGATATTGTGGAAGCACTATATCCCTGAGAGGACACAGTCTAGTTTCGCTGCTTAGTCCCCCACCCCCTCTCGCACCGGGAGGTGGTTAAGACAATCGTGGTTTACCGGCATTTCCTTGATTTGAGTCAGCCATATGAATGGAGTATCAATCGTGGTTTACCGGCATTTCCTTGATTTGAGTCAGCCATATGAATGGAGTATTCGATTTTATCAACGCAGATAGCTATGGCTATTTTCAACCATACACTGCTTATAGTCGATCCACGACCAAGAAAACTCGTTACCTGCAG